TTGGAGAGATGTATAAAAAAAAAAAGATCCTGTTTTGAAACATGGTTTTTGTTCTTCTTTTAACAGACCAACGGCGAGACTGAGGAGGAAAACCTCAACAAGTCAGAAATCAGTCAAGTCTTTGAAATTGCACTTAAACGCAACCTGCCGGTCAACTTTGAGGTGATTTCCCTTTAAGAAGAACTTCCTCACACATGTCATCACACTGTGCTGTTTGTTGTTTCAGTCACGCACACACACACACACACACACTGTGTGATGTTACTACAGTGTTGTATCCTCAGGCAGTGTGAAAAACACCAAGTGTTCTGTAGAACTCACTTCTTTTTTTATGGACCGACATAAATTCAAAGGCATAAAACGAACTGAGCTCATGATTCTGGAGCCACAATAATAATAAAAAAATAAAATGTCTTTTTTATTATGTGCAGCAGTTGTTTTGTTACAACATTGTAATTCCTACAAAACTGCAATCCAGATCCTGTCACGTTCCCTCCTCGGTGACAAATAAGGAAAATATAAAAAAATTAAATTTCATCAGCCTTAATGTGCCCACACTCGGGGGCGGCGCCCCTGACTTTGAGAACCACTGCTGCTCAGTCCGATGACCATGTAACTGTGCAGATGTTGAACATTGTTGTCTTCGTTCACGTCTAGGTTTTAAAGGAAGACGGCCCCCCGCACATGAAGAGTTTTATCGTGCGTGTTCTAGTCGGGGAGTTCACCGGTGAGGGCGAAGGGAAGAGTAAAAAAATCGCCAAGAAGCTGGCGGCGGCGGCGGCGCTGAGCGAGTTGAAGAAGCTGCCCCCCATACCCTGCGTGGAGAGGAATCTGCCCCGCATCAAGAAGAAAACCAAATCCATCATCAAGGTGATTGGTCTTGGTCTTGGTCTTGGTCCTGACTCTTCACTCTTTATAAAAACACTCTTCTCTAACCTTCCAACCTTCACAGCTGCAGACCAGCCCGGAGTACGGACAGGGCATGAACCCCATCAGCCGTCTGGCCCAGATCCAGCAGGCCAAGAGGGAGAAGGAGCCGGACTACAGTATGGTGACGGAGAGGGGTCTGCCGCGGCGCAGAGAGTTTGTCATGCAGGTCAGACATCAGCTCTTAGATTCATTTGGATTTTTTTTTTTTTTTTTTTTGGTCTCAGCGGTGAATGCTGTTTTTCTCGTGCTGCAGGTGAGTGTTTGTGGCAAGTCTGCAGAAGGGATGGGACCCAGCAAGAAGGTGGCCAAGAGGAACGCCGCAGAGAAGATGCTGGACCTCCTGGGATATAAAGTGCCTCAGCCCCAGCCTCCCAAACCTGCTCTGAAAACAGATGAGAAGGTACAGACTCTGAAACGACACAGGTTTCCTCTGTCAAAAGAATCTAAGACAAACGGGGAAAAAAAATATTTATCTGTGAGACAAACGGTGATATTTTATTACCGTGTTTTCTGGACTAAATGGACCAAACAATTAGACAGTTTCTGGAGGAAAATGTAGTGACATCACCTCTTCTACTGCGCTGTCTTCAACATTAGCATCAGTTGTGATTAGTTAATTTTTTAATCGCAAATAATTTTCTCGCTGCTCTAATACATTTTATTTATAGCATTTTTTATAATCTGAAGTAAATTCAAATTTAAACTTTGGTCATATACTATAGCAGCAGTATTCAGTTGTTGCCTGTAGATGGCGCCCTCTTGTGGCAATAGATGATATGAGGTACGGTTTTGATATACAAGTCGATATAAATTGTGGAACCAGTCAAGGTATTTAAAAAAATCGCCTCCATTTACGTCTAAATACTTCAACAAACGTTTCCATCTCAGTGTTTCTTCTTTGTGGAATTATTTTAAAATAATCACATCTGTCTTAGAACATTTTGACTTGACCTGACGATTATGCTTTTCTGTTGTTGTTTAGGTCCCCGTGAAAAAAACAGGAGATGGGCGTAAAGTGACCTTTTTTGAACCTGGCTGTGGAGAAGAGGTGGCGCTGAGTGAGTTTCATTTAGAAACGTAGATTCCATCCATATATATATTTCTATATATATTTCTATATATGTATGTATATGTATGTATATATTTATATATGTATGTATTTATTTATATATATGTATATATTTATGTATATGTATCTATATATTTATATTTATATATATATTTATATATATGTATATATTTATATATGTATGTATATATATATGTACGTATAAATTTATATATGTATGTATATATTTATATATATATATTTATTTATACAATATTTCAATTTTTCCTTTTGCCTCTGTGCGTTTTACCCAAAGATTCTAAGGAGGAGGAGTTTCGACTGCCTTACCTGAGCCATCAGCAGCTTCCTGCAGGTATCCTCCCGATGGTGCCTGAGGTGGCTCAAGCTGTGGGGGCCTGCCAAGGACCCCAGGGCAAGGATTACGGTCGAGCGGTGCCCAACCCGGGCAAAGCCACGGTCACTGCCATGATCGCCAACGAGCTCCTCTACGCGGGGACATCCCTGAGCGCCGAGACCGTCCTGAAGAACAAGAACAGCGTCGTCCAACGTCCCGCCGGACCCATCACCCGGCCGTCGGAGCAGCTCAGCTACCTGGCGTCGGTGCAGGGCCTGCAGGTAGTCGTCGTCGCCGCCGGCGACGGCAGCAGGCGGTGTTTGTTGTTTGAATGTTGTTGGTGATGAGTGGTCATTTAGGCTGACGTGTGATTCGTCTCCAGGTGGAGTACAAGGACTTCCCCAAAAACAATAAGAACGAGTTTGTGTCACTGATTAACTGCTCCTCCCAGCCGCCGCTCATCAGCCACGGGATTGGCAAAGACGTCGATTCCTGTCACGATATGGTGAGTCTCTGGTTCTTGACGTGAAGTGTCGTGTTCGTGGTTGACTTTGTTCCGTGTCTCAGAGTTCACACCAGAGCGATGAAAAAACACGAGTGTTAGAATGTCTCGGTGGTGGTGGAAAAATAACGAAGCAGAGCTTTTATTATTAATAATAATAAAAATCTCTTTTCAGGCGGCACTGAATATATTAAAGATGCTCTCAGAGTTGGACCAGCAACCACACGAAAGAACAGGAAACGGACCGGTCTCTGGGTAAGACGAGTCACAACACAGATAATAAGAGCGTGGAGCGCAGCAGCTTCAATCAGAACAGACATGCTGACACAATGTGCACTACAGCCCCCCCCCCACTGAACCCCCCCACTCAACACTCCCACCCCCCCAGAGGTGCTACTGCAGCACGGCAAATTAATTTAATTCTGAAAAAGTTTCTCAGTTTTTACCACAAATGTGAAACCGATTTGTGATTTCATTTCCTTTTCATTAAATGACAAAAATTTTGTAAAATTTTTTTTTTATAAAAAAAAAAAAAAACAAAAACAAAAACCCTGAACCACTAAATGTCTCCCAGTGTTTCCCCGTTGTCGACCACGTGTTGACTGACAGAGTCTGACTTGATCCAGCAGGTGTGGCAAACAGGAGCTGGCGAGTGACGTGCACCTCAGACAGGCTAACGCAAGCACATTGGCACAGACTCTGGATGGCGCTGTTTGAACCGTCAGGTTTGGTCGTGTGGGGAAAAAAGCACTAGAGAAAATTCACACGTCGTGTTCCTACGCCAGAGTCGGAAGTCTTAAAAAAAAACAAACAAACAAACAAACAAACAAACAAACAAACAAACCAACCCCCGGACTCTGCCCTGTTCTTTAGTCTACATCTGAAACTGATGAAGAGAAGGTCGCCTCCCTCCTCCTCCTCCTCCTCCCAGCCCCCCTCCTCTACGACCCCCCCCACCCTGTGACGGTGTGTAATCGGGCACATTATTTATTTCTGTTGCTTTGTAGAGAAAACCAGCTGCATCCTAGTGGACGACCTTGGAGTTGACTTTGTGGGGGTCGACACCGACGGACTAACTGTGAACTCGTACTTTTACCTAGGACTCGAACCCTCACCCTCTGTGCGACCTGCTTCACTGTCTCTCTCTCTCGCTCTCTTTTTTTTTAATTTTTTTTTAAAAAAGTGTTTCCTGTTTTTTTTTTGTTTTTTTTTCCCAACCAAAGAGGCCGCGGAGGGAATCGCACCGACGTCTTCTTGGTCTCGGCTGCAGCTTGTTTGTTGATTTGACTGAAGTGCTTTACATCCACCACCACAGGTGGCGCTGTCTTGACTTTACCATGTAGGTGCTGGGACTGAGACTCTGTGAGTGAGTGTAGCGTGTGACTGTGATGTGCCGTCGTCTCTGATCTGTGTGTGTGTGTGTGTGGCGGAGGCGTTCCTCCGCTGCGTCCGGGTTTTTCTGCTGTTTCCTTCCTGATGTCGGCTTCTCCTCTTCTCTTCTCTCCTCTCCTCTGCTCCTCATGGTCATTAAACGTCAGTGCTCATGTGCTCTGCTCTGCGTCTCCTCTGTTTGTTTCCTCCGACCGTGAATCATCACAGGCTGAGGTTCTGGAGTTTTTTAATTTCCTATTTTTATATTTGGCGGTGCTTTAGTGACATCATGATGAAGGAACAACGAGAGGAAAGTTGGTATTAATCATCATCATCATCACCATCATCACCGTTAACTTGATTTGTACCATCATATATAGTACTCTTCAGAGGTAACTCTGTTAGTGCAGGTGAACGACTGTTTCAGGAGTTAATGAATCGTTTATTTTTGTTTAAATGAGTCATTTAGTATTTTTAAAGGCAAAAAAAACAAAAAAAACAAGAAGAAGAAGAAATGTCGGGTTTCCTAAAGTAAACCTTAAAACCAGGATCTCAACTATTTATTCTTGTTTGTCCTTCCTTCTGTCATAGAAGACAAACAAGATTGTCATAGCGAAATATATATATATAATTATATATCTAAATATATATGTATGCATATATTTATATATATATTTATATATCTAAATATATGTATACATATATTTATATATATTTATATATTGATAAATATATATTTAGATATATTTAGATATATCTAAATATATGTATACATATATTTAGACATAAATATATATATAAATATTTATATATATACAAATATATATATTTATATATTTAGATATATATATACACACATACAGTATACTGTGTGTATATATATATACATATATACAGTATAGGTATAGTATTATATACAGTATATTTATATATACATATATATAGTATAGATCATTGGGGGTGTGTATTGGCAATAACCTCACGATACAATACATATCACGATACAGAGGTAAAGATAAAATATATAGTCACTTCCAGTCATATGTTGGGGTTAAATCCCGTCTGTACTTGACCATATTTTACTGTAATAACCATGAACCTCTCTGATTGGACGGAGTCCGCTCCGATCACTCCACCTTGACGTGGCCGTTCGACACCTGTTTCTTCATTGTATCGATGAAAGGGTACATGCACTTGTCCGACCCCAGGAAACGATACACGACACTGTTGGATTCCCACGGCAACAACCTGCCGGGGGGGGGGGGGGGGGGGGGGTGAGCAGAGAGTGAATGAGAATAAGCAGCTGTTTAGGTGTAGACGACGTCATGACGTAATATATATTTTGGTACTGACGCTCTAGAGAGGTAAGGGATGTAGGTCATCCGTGGGATGCAGACCAGCGGTTGGTCGATGAGGATGGCGTTCATGGCCTGTTCAACGCAGTACTGGGGCTGCAGCGGTGGCAGGATCATTTCAGCTTCCTTCCTGAGGGTGGCACCAGAGAACAGTGTTGAACGACACCCGGCCGTTCACACCCACATTCACACCATCGGTCGATTAAACCTGATCTGGTTTTGTTTTGTGGAGAAATCTGATCTCACAGTTTTTGGCATCATGCAAATAATTTTTGTCTTTAACGTTGAATAATTTTATAAATATTGTTTTTCTCATTCTGTTTGTTGGCAAATTGATAGACCGAGTTAACCTGCGTTTATAGTTCAAATCTCGGGGATGAACCTTGACCTTTACTAGGTTAAAAAAAGACGAGATTTCAGCAACTTCTGAACAAAGGTGATTCGTCCGTCATCTTTGAGAAAAGTTGTACTTTAGCTCGGCTCAGGTGAACGCAGGTTGATGAAGGCCTAGACCGCTGGGAGAACTCCCATGGTGCACCGAGCACCGTTACATGCTCCTGTTCTTGGAGTTGGAGTTCAGAGTGTTCCAGTGACGTTAGTCGGACTGTTTTTTTTTATCACTGACCGTTAAAGTGACTCAACATTGTTACTGTGTGCTGATTGGCTGACGCACCGTATCTTGCAGCCTTCAAACATCCCCGTGTCCACGATGTAGGGACAAACGAGCGTGGTCTTCACTCCGTCCAGGTCCTCGGTCAGCAGCTCGTGGGCCAGAGACTCGTGAAAACCCACAGCAGCAAATTTACTGGCGCAGTAATCCTGTAAAAAAAAAAAAAAGATGAACTTTCAGCAGTGACGATAAGAAACGGGAAGGTTTTGTCTCGTTGTCGTTTCACCTCCACACACGCTGTGCTGAAGAGTCCGAGGACGCTGGCGATGGTCACGATGTGGCCGTGGTTCTGGGCCTTCATCTGAGGCAGGAAGGCCTTCACTGTCTGACACACACACACACACACACACACACACACACCGTTTCTTCAGAAAGTTACACTCACACTGAAAATGTTGCTCAACGTGAGTCAGGATTACGTCACATTAGAGGCGTCGGTTTAAGGATTTAAAGGATTTATGTGGAACGCGTGAGTCAGGTGATCCAGGTTTATACTCTGTGAACTGTAGTACGGCTTTGTAAATCTGTAGTATTACTACAGTACTTTAGACTTAATACACAGCACTACTGACATCGTTGAAATGGTGGGAATGTTTTTGTGGATCTGTTGGTGTTAAAGGTCTGGGTCTGGGCCCACATCAGGAACACAGTTCCCTCTTGAAGGTTCGGTTGTAACTGTACGACTGTTTAACTCTAACTACTCCATAATTTGTTTTTGAAGTTATTATAAAATTATTATTTTCTAATTACAAATATTGTAAAATATCAAGTTAAAAAACTCTTTTTTAAAGTTCCCGCGGGGCCACACGATGTGACTGGGCGAGAAGCACCGGCACCGCGGGGCCACACGATGTGACTGGGCGGACCACATTTGGCCCGCTGGCCTTGAGTTTAACACATGTTGTGTATGGTGAGAGATGATCTGTTTCTGTTGGCTGTGGTTCAGTGGATCAACCCGTACGTGATTGAACCATTGACACAGAGACTTATTGTCGATCATCGTCATCCGTCAACATGAGGTCATCGCCTAGAACTGCATCAACCGCCGCCGGACGATGACATCATGCTAGCCTGTAGACATTTGATTTATACAGCGAGGCTCGGAGAAATGACCGAAATATCTACGTCTGATCTCTGTCACACATCTCACCCAGAAGAGGGCGTGGCAGTTGACCTTCAGGGTCTTCTCCACCACTTCGTCGGGACAGTCCAACAGACGCCTCCCCGCCACCACGCCGGCGTTGTTGACCAGGATGGTGACGTCACGGCCCAGGTCTTTCCTCACCATCTCCGCGGTGCGGTACACGTCCGCCCTCTGGGTCACGTCCACGCTGTACGCGAACGCCTTACCGCCCATGTCACGCACCAGCGCCGCCGTCTGCTCATTGGCAGCGCCGTTGATGTCCCACAGCACCACGTCCGCCCCTTGTTTGGTGAACTCCTGTGCGAAGACCCGACCCAGGCCGCCTCCTGACCCCGTGATCAGAACCAGCTCGCCCTCGATGGACTTGGTGCGCGGCCGCAGGACGACCCGCAGGGAGTTACGGAGGATGAAGTAGACGACATCCAGGAGCATCACCTGGAGGTCCATCAGGAAGATCATCCTGCCTGAGTCTGTGTACAGCTACAGAGTACGGAGTACACTAACAAATACTAACATGTACTTCTGTGTACCCCACCGTACAGCCCGGCCGGTGTTTCTCTTCTCCTGTGGAGCTCAGCCTTCATCCTACTTTTATTCAAACACTCCTCCAGATTAGAGGAAATATTTTGAGCTCCTGTTTAAATCACGTTCATCGTAATCTCTGAGTGAATGTGTTTCCTTCTGAGGAAGTTTTTTTTTTTTTTTTTTTTTTCAGGCCTGGTTCAGTATGTTTAGACATAAAATATTTCATTAAAAAATATATATATAAATAAAATATATATACATATACACATACATACATATACATATATGTATATATACATACTCTATATATGTATATGTACATATACTGTTAATGTGTATATATATATTGTGAATACATGTATATATATATATTTATATATGTACATATGTTTTCACAATATATATATATACATACATATGTACATATTTATTCACAATATATATACACATACATATGTACATATATTTATATATGTAAATATGTATTCACAATATATACATACATATGTACATATATATTCACAATATATATATACAAACATATGTACATATATTTATATTTGTACATATATTTTCACAATATATATACATACATATGCACATACAGTATATATATATGTATGTATTCACGATGAGATAATTTAAGTATTCTACTGTTTTTCTCCTTTCTTTTTCAATACTGTGATCCCAAACCGATACATATGTACATATGTATTCACAATATATTCCCATTAATCCTCAACGACAGAAGGACAGTACAGTACAGTACAGTACAGTACAGTACAGTGCAGTACAGTACAGTACAGTACAGTACAGTACAGTACTGCGGCTCCTAGTTCTGTTGGAGTTGTACTGCAGTACTGCGTGGCCTGAAGTGGTTTTGTGTTCCTGCTGCTCTGAGGCTCATGTCAGACGTGAACATAAGGTGATTATTATCCATGTGAACAGTAAAGCTCTGCTCTCAAAGTTCCAGAAGTTTCCACCTGACGTTCCGTGACCTCGGCTGAACACAGTCGTTATTGTTCAGACGGAAACAGTGTGAGTTTGTGAGAAAAAAAAGGGTTTGTAATTTATAGGATTTAAATTTAACGCAATGAATTTGAGAAAAGTCCGACTGTTGTTTGGTAGTTGAGGCCGACGCTGTTTGTATTTGTACTTCATTTTTGCAGTAAATCCACAGAGATTTCTTTAATACTTCTCAACACGTGGGTGGGCGGAGCTTGTTGTGTCACAGATTGAATCAAAGAGAAGTTCATGATACTGAAAGTATTTGAATATACGTGTATTCTGTGAATACTTCAAAAATATTTAGAAAGTTAATGACACAGTTTTTTGTTGTGGAGTGAAGATCATATTTAAAGCACCTTTACCAGGTTGGTGTTTTGTTTTTTTTGTTCTTTTTCAGTGTGAGTCACCACTAGGTGGCAGCGTTGATAATCAGTTGGATTTAAAAAAAAAAAAAAGAGAAGCCTTTTTTCCCCCTCCCTCCTCTCTGCAGAGGATTTTTCTCTCCAATTGCAGGCAGTGGGAAAACCTTGATGCAGTGGTGAGGAGTGAGGAGGGAGGAGGCCTTCCAGAACGATGAGACCGTAGTCAGAGTGAATCGCCACATTTTTAGTCATATATAAAAAACAAAAATGTTTTTTTGTTTTTCTCTCCAAACCTCGTACTGAAATGAAGGACAAGAATTCCTGATCAAAATGTAAAGTGATCTGTTTTATTTCTTCTTCAGTCGTCAAAGGAAATTGTTGCTTAGGAAATAGAAATATCTTAGGACACTGAGACATCGGTTCTGTTCTGGGGTTTTTTTTTTGTTTTTGTTTTGTTTTTTTTTACACTGGACAAGGTTCTGGCTCGGTGTGAATCACAACCAGTCACAACGCCAAAGGTACAACATGCACTGAACAACGAAACATTAATACAGAAACAACAGCATAGAAAGTCAACAGTTAAAAATGTCTTTGTTTTTTTTTATCATCCTTTTTTTTTTTTTTTTTTTACAAAAATGACAACCTCAGAACCTACAAAGAACATTGAGTAAGAGCTGGCTAACGTCGTTCACGTTCTTTAATGTGAGTTCCCTGGACTAAAGGACTGATGGCTTCGGCAGAGGTCGGGGGTCAGTTCCACTGAGGGCTCAGAAGGTAGAAAAAATAGAGGTTGGACTTTTGACTTGTACCAGGTTGAGTTTGTCTCACGCTGGAATACTGGTTCCTGTTCTAATGTCTATAATCAACATGTTCTGAATCCACGCCGACCCTGTTGTAGTGTCGGACTCAGAGTGCGTGGAATTGGCTACTGGTTCCCGCTGGGTTGGAGAAACTATCCAATGATTATGACAAAGGCCTTGTTCTCATCATAAAAAAAAAAAGAAAAAACATTTGTACAGATAATTTCACTAACACAAAGACCGAGTTCATTTTTAGTTTCCAGTTAAATGGTTCGAACCATCTGAGAGTCTTAAACCGGAAATTAGCTCTGGATCCACGATGGAGAAACGCAGCCGATCACACACTGGTGTTTTCTTTATTCTGTGCGATGGTTCTGTCGTGTCCCTGCAGGGAACTGTGGGAAATTAAAAACCTAAACGAAAACCCATTTAATTCTTTAAGACCGAACGTCTCCCCCCGGAGGCGAAGTGATGAAAAAGGGGCCGAACCGAATGGAAACAACTTCGCAATAACCACGTTTCCTAGTACGGCGTCATGTCACAGTATCACAGTCTAGGTATCAAACGACAACATCGATGTTTTTTCACACGTCCTTGTCGAGAAGCAAGGAAGTGGCTAGAAGTAGAAATACCAATGACGGGATGTCAATACTCGAGTATGTGTGTGTGTGTGTGTGTGTAAGGATATGTGTGGGCCACCAGGCGAGCTCTAGAGTTATTTCTTTTCCACTAGTGCAGTTTGGAGAATATTGATTGTCTTTAGTTTTGATACACGATGGTCCCTGTTTCATCATCATATTGAAAATGAACCTGATTGGACGTGGACGCAGGTCAGGACGAGTCGGGTGTGTGTGTGTATGTGTGTGTGTGAATACACTTAATATCAGACCGTGAGCCATGTGTTTGACCACACCTGGAGAAATCGCTCTAATGTCTGACATATCAGGATGTCAGCTGACGTTTAAACGAAACGTGTGGCACTGATTGGCCACGAGCAAAAAAAAAAAAAAGAAAAAAAGATGTGCAAATAAAGGTTGATCACAACCTGCTATGATAAAAATCTGTCTCTAATTAAAAACATTCATCAAAGAATCAAAACTAGCGATGTCTGATATTAAATTTTTGCCGATATCCGATATTGTCCAAACACTTAATTTCCGATTCCGATATCAACCGATACCGATATAGCGGGGGAGTGGTGCCCCTCCCCCCCCAAATTGCACCAACATTCTCACACAATCCCCTAATTATTAAATTAGATTAATAACATGAGCTGCAATGCTGCCATCTAGTGGCTTTCACTGTCATATACAGCTGTTTTTCCCCAAAACTATTTTTACGGCACACATTATTTGGGGAAACCCAGGCGTTTCGTTATTGGGTTTTCATTATCGGAAGGAAAAACCCGATAACGATTCTTACAGATATTACCTAATTATGCTAATATCGGTCGGACGATATTATCGGACATCCCTAATTAAGACCAAGTCACTGCAGGATTTTCTTTCTACAGAAGAAAACGCCCGTGTTTTGAAGGAGTTGGTCATAAATATAAGTAGCTAATACGCGCTAGTTTTTTTTGGTCATGTGTTCTTGATCTATAAATGACATAAATTAAATTGCAAACACAAACTCCGTATAAAGGAACGATGCAAAGAATATTTATGTGCAATAATGATCAGCCTCGTCTGTCAACAAAGATTAGGAGAAAAGTACAATCAGGATTCCCTCACATCCATACATTCATATATTGATTAATAATGTGGGATGAAATGACTGATGTCACACACACACACACACACACACACACACACACACCTCACTATATGAGCCACGTCATGATGGAAGTCTGTGAGTTGTCGTACTGGTTCCAAACAAAATCTACTCTGGAAAAACGTTTGCTTTTTGCTCAAGATGTCATTACAAATGTAAGGCAACATGAACTGCTTTAATATAGTTTATTATTATTGTTATTATTATAACTGAGCTACATTCACAACCAGCACCACAACTACACGACATCAGAGTTGTGTTACTCTAAAATTTTTGCGGAAAATAAAATGAACCTTTTTTTTTTTCCTAAACCAATAATCGTCATTAACCAACGTCTTTGTATCTTGTGCTTGGAGGGAAACGTGTAGCGTTTGATGTGCTTGTCTGGAACGAGGTACTTCTCTGTTTGTGTACTCTGGAGAAAACTACTACAGTATGTCAAATACATAAAGTACTCGGTGAGTGAAGTTTTTCCTAGGATCTGTTTTTGCTCCAGTTTGACAAGTTGGCGTGTTGTTTAAAGCAGGGAGCCCCAAACTCCGGTCCGTGGACCGGTACTGGTCCGGGCCACAGTTTTATGTAATTTTTACTAATTGACTTCATTCAAAGACAAACCTCTCACTGTTTACTTACTCAGATATTCTGGCAATATTTTAAAACATCGATCGGTCCTTGTTTTGGTAACGCTAGTTTAAAGTCTAACGACGGATGGACTGATGTAACAGACGGTTCTGAACCGTGAACTTTGACTGAACTGTGAACAGAAAACGTCGACCATGTACAGAAGCTCCGCAGACACGTGACTCACACATGTGTGTGTGTGTGTGTGTGTGTGTGTGTTAATGCGTGTGCTCTTGTGTGAACGTGCAATCAGAGCCGATGACTTTCGTTAAATAAATGTTGCTGAACTGCTGCCTCCAGCCTCGGAGAGCAGTTTCAGTCGCCATGGAAACCAAGTTTTTTTTGTTTTATTTTATGTGTATCCTGAAGATCCTCTTTCATAATAGTTTGTACTGTATCAGCTGTGGGTGTGAGTTTGTGCTTGTGCAGGACTTTCTTCACTTCTCACATTACGTCGTATTTATAGTCAAGTCGATCCTTCCTGTATATATTTTAGTGCATTGACCGTACGTAAGAAATGGACGAAGTCGAAGTAGACGTCGCTGATGTGCCACCGTGGCTTTGGGGGCCGGGGAAATGGATATCTGATCATTTGGAAAAAAAAAAGATTACAGTCGAAGCGCGATTATTGACAAAGAATAATCTTTCACTAAAACTTAAGTCAGAAACTTCTTCCAGTCTTTGTATCGGAGCAACATTCCTGGGTTTTCCTGCCCAGACGTTGTTAATGATCTGTGTTTTAACCTGAATCTTGTTCACTGCTGTGGTGAACGCCTTAAAGGGAACAGTGTTTGGTAATAAATGTCTGGTGACGATGTTTCGTGATCTTGATCACCGCCTCTGGTCGTCGTGATGATTTGACAGTTTTAAGTTGTCGTTTTTTGAACAGATTTATGAGCTTTTAGCAAAATGATCTGAGACTTTTTTTTTTTTTAAATAATAAACTCTGAAGTATCTGTCGTTTGTGAGTCACAGTTGCTGGGACTCTTCTCCGACACCGGAGTTGATCATTACACCGAATCATCGTAGAACAATCCTGCGTTCTTTTTCCTCCGTGTATTTGGACCGGAGCTCATCGTCCTATGGCTGCACACGCAAGCTGTGACATCATATCAAAGCTAGCTTCTCTTCCTTCATACGGAGAACCAAGACTGACGCACGTCATTCTCTGGACCAATCCCTGGCAACTACCATTTGTAAACACTAGCTACGTCCATTTTCTATTTACGCTCTATGATTCGGTGCGTTTTTTTATATTTTGGTTTGACTGAAACTCTTGTGCCGTTTTTTTTTTAGCTGTTGTTACGTTGATAATAGAAAGGCCAACGGGTGATGGACATTCAGTGACCGTTCATTCTGTCAGCCACTTGTGCTCGTCATAAATGTTAGCATTAACTGAAACTATCTGCAGCGCCCCCTGGGGCCAAAATAAAAACAACATTCATATTGAAGAGATTAAAACCGTAAATTGTTTCGCGTCCTGGTTTGGTGCTCACTACTGCCACCACCGCAGTGTGATCGAGCGACAAAAAAATACCCTCGAGGTGATTCGTCCTAACGGTGAAGACGCAGCAGATTAGCCAATCACGTACGTGCATATATAACGAGACCGTTCTCTTAACTGTGGTATATAAAAATAAATGGGGTTAGAGACGACAGTGAGTGTGCACACATTATTGAACATCAACAGACACACCCCTACACTCACCCACAGACACACCCCTACACTCACCCACAGACACACCCCTACACTCACCCTCACCCACAGACACACCCCACAGACACACACCTACACGTGTCGATGACTAAGGCCAGGGTTTAGGGATGGAGGGCACGAGTCAGTAGCTTATAGGCTTTAAGTTCCTCTCCTGTATCTCCAAGACTACAACATAAAATGGAACTCTAATGGGACAGTGAGCAGCTGTTTTTTTTTTCCGTCTCTAACACACTACGCTGACACCTACTGGTGTTAAGACCACATTAACACAGCGGTTCTCAACCACAAAACATACATAATCCGATAACTCTCCGTCCACGGGGATCTGGAACCAGATCCGTCGGCTACCTGTGAGTGCTCCTTTGTTTTGTGGTTATGGAATACTGCCGATAGGAATGAGCTGAAGGAGGGGCAGTGACATTCTCCCAGAGTATTCACCGTACATGTTAGTTTGAGCCTATCGCCCAACAGCATGCTTAGGTCGTCTGTAAAACGTTATGAAAACCCTCACGTCTCCTACGTCTGTCCTGTGTCTCTAGTAAAAACACCCTGACCGTCGTCTTCCCTCCTGCTCCACATGTCCTTCAGTGGTTTTTGTCCAACGTGTTTTGACGTCCTCTGTCAACCTTTGGTCTGTGAGCCACTTCATGACTGACGTGATTCTCGTGAGCCACCCCACGAATCCCCTCTAGGGGGAACAAGCAGTTCTGTCCCAGCAGTTTTTGGGCGGCTTCTAAATGGTTGTTCCCCCTCTGGTAGTTGATGTTGATGCCGTGTTTGGGACTGGACCCCGCCAACAGGCGGTCTGAGAGACTGGCTTCGGAGATGTCACGTAGGTGCTCGTCGTCGTCGGTGTCAGCGTCGATGTACTTGCTAATGGAGGAGTCGTGGAAGGTAAAGACACTTGGGGCCAAGGTAGTGCTTTCTGGTGACTTTGGTGGGGTCCTGCTGCTGGCAGTGGTATAGATAGACACTTCAGGACTTAACAAAGAGTGGTCGGACGGGACGGAGCTGTCGGAGAGGGGGGAGCGCCCGGACTCTCCCTCACTGCGGCAGCCTACTTTACCTACCCTAAGGCTTTTGGACGGGTTTCCAGAAAAGAAGTACTTCCTCGCATTCTCTGAGCACGAGGTTTTCATGACGGACGGCGTCAGCATGGACTCGCACTCTCTCGTGATTTGTTGGCCTGTTTTTGCGCTGGCGTGATGAGATAAAGCCATAGCTGTGCTGTGGGTCAGTCGTTTGGTTTCCAGAAGAACCAGGTCCACTGCAGGACTGTGCTGAAAACGTGTATTTTCCTGGAAGTCTGTAGCACAGCTGATGTAGCTGTCGATGCTGGACAAACTCTTCATGTCTCCCACTGCCTCTCTGGTACCTAACACTGGTAACCCGTGGTCTTGAATGGCACCCAGTTCTATCTCGTCTCTTTGTCGGCTGACTCTGGAGCCTCTGTCTTTAGCGTTGAGGTTGGGCTGTGACTGTGTCTTGGCCATCTGGTTGTACATCTCCTCCAGGTTCTGTGCATTTAGCCTTTGGGGACTTGTAGCTCGAGCCTCGTTGGGGGAACCTAGTTCATGGGGGTTGAAGGAACGATTGGAGCTGGTCTCTGACGCCGCCCTCTTGGAGGTCCATTTCCAACGATTGGGAGACAGGTGGTTGTCATGAGGCCTCTCGGTTTTATCCACCACCACGTCCATCAGTTCTGCGCTACGAGCAAATGCCTCCTTCAAGTTCATTGAGACAATGCTGCCGTTTCGTTTCGCTCTCTCCAGAGCCTCTCTTCTTTTAAGTGCTTTCTCCTGCCGTTTCTGCTCCTTGTAGAATTCGGAGAAGTTGTTGACAATAATGGGAATGGGCAGTGCGATCACCAGGACTCCAGCTATACAACACAACCCCCCAACAATCTTTCCTAAAAGGGTTTTGGGGTAAATGTCTCCGTAGCCAACGGTTGTCATGGTAATGGTCGCCCACCAGAAAGACGCTGGAATGCTTTTAAACTTCGTGTCGTCCTCGTCCTTTTCGGCAAAGAACACCAGACTGGAGAAGATCATGATGCCCATGGCGAGGAAGAGGATGAGCAGGCCCAGCTCGTTGTAACTCCTCCTCAAGGTGAAGCCCAGAGACTGGAGCCCCGTGGAGTGACGCGCCAACTTTAGAATACGCAAGATACGCATGATCCGGAATATCTGTACCACACGGCGGACGTTCTGAAATTGCAGCACGCTCTTGTTGGACTCTGTGAGGAAGATGGTAATATAGTAGGGCAGGATGGCCAGCAGATCGATGACGTTCAGAGGGCCTTTGAAGAACTTCCACTTGTTGGGCGATGAGAGGAATCGAAGCAGGTACTCCATGGTAAACCACGCAATGCACACAGCTTCCACATGGGCGAGTTGCGGATTATCAGTGGACTGGCCAAACTCGTCAGTGCCCTGCAGCTCAGGGAGGGTGTTCAGAGACAAGGCGATGGTGGAGAGCACGATGAAGAGGATGGAGATGATGGCCAGGATCTGAAAGGCAGAGAGAGATAACATATGTCACGACTGCGCGAGGATCACAGAATTACACATTAGCATATAATGCTGGAATTTAATTATGCAAATTGAGTTTCTTTTATGTGTTGTTAAAGATGGAGCACGAGAGTGCCGCGAGTCAGTTCATTCCAATCCCTTTTTAATTTGATGTAAATCACCAGGAAACACAGGCGAAGGCGAAGTGAGTGTGAGACGTAAAGATGATATTGACTTGAAACACAGATTTATTCAGGACTCGTTTCCACAAGAATATAATAGAAACTAATGTTTAACCAACAGTTAAATACAGTTAAGTGCAGTCATCCGTCAGGCGTCGTTTGTCATCATTTAAAGGTACAGTAAGAACTTAACTCCTAAAATCCGAAAAGTGCTTTTCCAAAGTGCAGTCATCCATCAGGCGTCGTTTGTCATCATTTAAAGATACAGTAAGAACTTAACTCCTAAAATCCTAAGCACATACAAATCCTGTCTGTATTTGTAGAAATAATCAAACATTTTCCCGACTATAAATCGCACTTTTTTTCCCCTCCTTTCTCTGGGTTGGTGACTTATACTCAGGTGCGACTTAATGTTTAACACTAAATGGCTGTTGTGGTAGAGTAGGTGTAAATGCCGCCACCTACTGGATTTTTTTTCCCCCGGTTTCCCACCTGCGTACTGTGCTCTTAGGCCTCCCGTGTCACTAACTGAAGTACTTTGTGACGGGAAAATAAATATTGGAGCAGAAAGCTGCAGCTGGGACAGCGTGTGATTGGAGGAGAGATGATTGGATCTCTGAGAAACCTCTGAATCTCAGCTCATCTCTGAGGCTCACGTCTGAGCAGACCTGAGGCGTTCATGAGTCGGCCATGTGACCACACAGAAATTAGAAAGTCATTTCTTAAGCCGGTGTGATTCGATCGTCCACGAACTCATCAGACATGTGAGGAAACAAACCTGCGTCGAGCACATGATGCAGGGTTTTCCTTTGAGTCGCCCCGGAGGAAAATAAGAAAAAAACAGAAAAAAAAAACAACAACAACCAGACAACAGGAGGTGACTGACAGCGTGGGCGTCGACAACAGCCTGAGAATTTGGAATCCACTCCCAGGAGTAAAATGATGGCTAAAGAAGCAACCTTTTTTATGGCCAATCAGAGCAGCAGGGCTCTGTTTCCATAGCGTCAGGGCAGACATGAATAATGAACCCGTGTGTTTGTCCTCCCTCTCTGCTCCCCAGCTCCTGATCTGGTGGAAATCAATTTGAATCAAACACTTCAAGAGCAAATTGTAGGAGCTGGAGAGGCAAACAGAGGGAGAGGAGGTGCAGCTCCGTCAAAGATGGGATCCATATCAAGGATTTCACTGTGTCCGAGTCAGAGAATACGGCTCCACAGCAGCTACGACGTCAAGTTTCAGAAAACTAATAGATTGGTGTGAGTGCTGCAGTGGAAGTGAACTATAAAAAGATCACCGCTGAGGCTGTGGTTCATGACTACGCTGATGAGGTCAGGTTCCATCGCCCATTTCCCACTGGTCTGTGTCCTAATGGCCTCTGTTCTCTTACAACGCCTCGGTTTTCCTTTCCCTCTTCCTGTTCTGTTTCTGTATCAGAGCAGAGCGATGACAGTCAGGGATAAATGTAAAAAAAAAAAAATCATCTTTCCTAAAGAATTCTGCTCGGGCTCCCAGACCTGACAGTAACGTCCTTAACTGGACTGTAGGTCATGTATTGACTCCCAGTGGACTGGGCAGCACAGACGACCAGACGGATGTGGATCACTGACCACACGGGGTGCTGCACATTATTTTGTACATTTAGAAAGTCATGAAATGACAGCCGTATTTTCTGGACTTTAAGTCCTATAAGACTATAAGGAGTATGAGTTGCAACAGTGCCATCTAGTGGCTGTCAGTGTGAAAATAACAAACGTGAAATTATATATTTTAATATATAAGTCGCACCTTATTAAAAATCGCAAACCCAGCCAAAGGATGAAAAAAGTGCGACTTATAGTCCAGGAAAATACGGTAAATGCTACGTATTATAATTATTATTACTTATGTCGTCGTAAAGTATTTCTTCACCTTCTTCAAAGTCGAGTCTTTGAAAACTAGGTGTTTTTGCCTGTGAGCCAAAACGAAGGGCAAAAAGTTTCAAAAAAATATGGCGACCGCAACCGGTGAACGTAAACAGAGGC